GATGCACGGGTAACTCCCTGCACAAAGAATGATCTGGCCCCACATGGAGAAACCACAGACTGGACGCAGTGGCTCATGCCTGTCATCCCAACACTTTGGGAGGCTGAGGCAGGAGAATTGCTTGAGGCCATCCTGGGTAACACAGAGAGATCCTCATCTCTGAAAAAAAATTTTTTTTTTTTGTTTGAGACAGAGTTTCACTCTGTCACCCAGGCTGGAGTGCAGTGGAGCAATCTTGGCTCACTACAATCTCTGCCTCCCAGGTTCAAGCAATTCTCCCGCCTCAGCCCCCCGAGGAGCTGGAATTACAGGTACTCACCATCATGTGTGGCTAATTTATATATATATATTTATATATATATATATAAATTTTTTTTTTCTTGAGACAGAGTCTCGCTCTGTCGCCCAAGCTAGAGTGCAGTGGGGCGATCTCAGCTCACTGCAACCTCCGTCTCCTGGGTTCAAGCAATTCTCTGCTTCAGCCTCCTAAGTAGCTGGGACTACAGATGCCCATCACCATGACCGGCTAATTTTTGTATTTTTAGTAGAGATGGGGGTTTCACCATGTTGGCCGGGCTGGTCTGAAACTCCTGACCTCATGATCCACCCACCTCAGCCTCCCAAAGTGCTGGGATTACAGGCATCAACCACCGCGCCTGGCTTAATTTTTATATTTTTGAGAGATATGGGTTTCACCATGTTGGCCAGGCTGGTCTTGAACTCCTGACCTCAGGTGATCCACCTGCCTTGGCCTCCTAAAGTGCTGGGATTACAAGCATGAGTCACCACAATTGACGCCCACCAGGTTTTTTTTTTTGTTTTTTTTTTAATTAGCCAGGGGTGGTGGTACACACCTATAGTCCCAGCTACATGGGGGGCTGAGGCAAAAGGATCACTTGAGATCAGGAGTTCAAGGCTACAGTGAGCTATGATCACACCACTGCACTCCAGCTTGGGTATCAGAAGAAAACCCTGTCTCAAAAAAAGAAAGAGCCTGGGCGCGGTGGTTCACGCTTGTAATTGCAGCACTTTGGGAGGCTAAGGCGGGTGGATCACCTGAGGTCAAGAGTTCGGGACCAGCCTGACGAATATGGTGAAACCCTGTCTCTACTAAAAATACAAAAATTAGCCGGGCGTGGTGGCAGGCACCTGTAATCCCAGCTACTCAGGAGGCTGAGGCAGGAGAAACCATTGAACCTGGGAGGCAGAAGTTGCAGTGAGCCCAGATTGCGCTGAGATCTTTTTAGAGACCCTATCTGTAAAAAAACAGCCTGGGTGACATAGTGAGATTCTGTCTTGAAAAAAAAAAAAAAAGAAAGAGAGAGAGACAGAAAGAGGAAAGGAAGGAAGGAAGGGAGGGAGGGAGGGAGGGAAGAAAGAGAGGAAAGAAAGCAGCTATTATTATTGTAGGGGCTCCAGAGATTATGTCCAGTCCCCTTTTAGTCCTTAAGTGAGCCCTTTGCCAGGATCAAGAATCCAGATTGACACCAGATAAATTCATGAGGAAAATGTATAAATGTTATTAGTTTTATGTGTTCATGAGATCTTCAGAAGAGTGTGAAGTCTGAATAACTGGCCAAAGCAAGATGCTTGTATACATTTTAGATAAAGAGGGATACATTTAGGGTGAGGTGGGTGGATTGCTTGAGGCCTGGATGGAGTTCTAGATCTGCCCTGGCAACATATGAAGATCACTGTCTCTACAAAAAAATTTTTTCTTTTAAATTTTTAATTTTTTCCCATATGGAGTTTCGCTCTTCTCGCCCAGGCTGGAGTGCAGTGGTGGGATCTCAGCTCATTGCAACCTTTGCCTCCTGGGTTCAAGCAAGCCTCTAGGCTCAGACTTCCGAGTAGCTACGATTACAGGCATGCAACCACCATACCCGGCTAATTTTTGTAGTTTTAGTAGAGACAGGGTTTCACCATGTTGGTCAGGCTAGTCTCGAACTCTTGTCCTCAGGTGATCCGCCCACCTCGGCCTCCCAAACTGCTGGGATTATAGGCATGAGCCACTATGCCCGGCCTAAGAAAAAAACTTTTTTAATTAGCTGGCCAGGGTGGTGCACATCTGTAGTCCCTGCTACTCGGGAGGCTGAGATGAGAAGAATTGCCTGAGCCTAGGAATTTGAGGCTACAGGGAGCTATGATTGTGTCACTGCACTCCAGCCTGGGTAACAGAATGAGACCCTGTCTCAAAAAAAAAAAAAAAAAAAAAAAGGAGTTGGAAGACAAAGTTTTGGTGAAGATGTGAGATTCTCACTGGCCTGGAACACCAAGCGAGAGGGGGCTTGGAGCTGCTTGGGTGCCTGGGAAGAGCTGCCAAGGGGCCTGTCCAGTCTAGGGAGTGGCCAGGCCAGCAGGGAAGACAGTAGGAATATCCTTCCTAGCTGAGATATGTCCCCAGCTTTTCAAAATTTACAGGTCAGCTGCCAGGGAGGGAGTCACCTGGAGCAGGGGATGGGCTCACTCGGGTTATCTGGGACAATCACAGGTAACCTCAGTCTGTCTGAGGCAGCCTGAGGGTGGGGCAGAGAATTTCCCAGGAGCCCTGTGGGGTGGGGTGTGCCTGGCTGTGTGGGACCTGCTGAGCCTGGACAAGGCAGCTCTGAGCGTTAAGGAGACCGAGCTAGCCCATCCAGTCTGACCAGAAACCCAGGCTCAAGCTTGGGATATGACGCCATGGGGGAGGATCCTAGCTCCAGCCTCCCAGTCTCAGGGACGGGGCTGGCGTAGTCATCGTGGAACCACTGGGAGGTTGAGGGATGTGTGTGCCTGCCCCACCCTCTACCCCAGGGATGTCCAGAGAGTCATGAGAAAGAGGGACAATGACCAGGCGTAGTAGCTCATCACAGCACTTTGGGAGGCAGAGTCAGGAGGCTCACTTGAAGCCAGGAATTGGAGACCAGCCTCAGCAACATAGCAAGACTCCGTGTCTGCAAAAAAATTTAAAAATTAGCCAGGCATGGTGATGTGCACCTATAGTGCCCAGCTACTTGGGAGGCTGAGGTGGGAGGATCACTTGAGCACAGGAGTTCAGGGCTTCAGTGAGCTATGATCACGCCACTGCACAGCAGCCTGGGCGACAGAGTGAGACCCTGTCTCTAAAAAAACAAACAAAAGAAAAAAGAAAAAGAAGAAAGGCCAGGCACAGTGGCTCACGCCTGTAATCTCAGCATTTTGAGAGGCTTAGGCTAATGGATCACTTGAGGCCAGGAGTTTGAGATAAGCCTGGCCAACATGGTAAAACCCCGTCTCCACAAAAAATACAAAAATTAGGCAGGCGTGGTGACACATGCCTATAGGCCCAGGTACTGGGGAGGCTGAGGCAGGAGAATTGCTTGAACCCGGGAGGTGAAGGTTGCAGTGAGCTGAGATGGCACCACTGCTCGGCAGCTTGGGTGAAAAAAAAAAAAAAAAGTCAAGAAAAAGACGCACAAGCCTGGGAGAAAGGAGGGGAACCAATGAGGATCCCAGGCTGCGTGCAAAGATACAGCAGTGCCCACTTAGTGCTCAGAGAACAAAGACCCTCCCACGAACACCCCCAATACAAGTGGCCTCATCACAGCACCTGCCGCCCTGCCCCTGCCAGAGCTGCAAAGCAAAGCAGAGAGGTTACATTATATACATGTAACAAGTGTTCTCATATACGCCATGTACATGCACAAATAAGTGATTTTCTTCAGACAGGGCCTTGCTCTGTTGCCCAGGCTGGAGTGCAGTAGCATGATCATAGCTCACTGCAGCCTCAAACTCCTGGGCTCAAGCCACCCTCCCGCCTCGGCCTCTAGAGTAGCTGGGACTACAGGTGTGCGCCCCCATGCCTGGCTAATTTTTTGCAGAGATAGGGGGCGGGGGGTCTCACCATGTTGCACAGGTTGGTCTCTAACTCCTAGCCTCAAGTGATCCTCCCACCTCAGCCACTCAAAGCTTTGGAATTACAGGCATCAGCCACTTTGCCTGGCTCAATTTTTTTTTTTTTTTTTTTTTTTTTTTGAGACAGAGTCTCACACTGTCGCCCAGCCTGGAGTGCAGTGGCGTGATGTTTTCTCACTGCAAGCTCCACCTCCTGGGTTCACACCTTTCTCCTGCCTCAGCCTCCCGAGTAGCTGGGACTACAGGCACCCACCACCACCCCTGGCTCATTTTTTGTATTTTTAGTAGAGATAGGGGTTCACTGTGTTAGCCAGGATGGTCTCGATCTCCTGCCCTCATGATCTGCCCGCCTCGGCTTCCCAAAGTGCTGGGATTACAGGTGTGAGCCACAGCGCCCGAGCTTTTTTTTTTTTTTTTGAGATGGAGTCTCAAAGTCTGGAGCAACCTCGGGCTCACTGAAACCTCATCCTCCCAGGTTCTAGTGATTCTCCTGACTCAGCCTCCTGAGTAGCTGGGACTACAGGTGCACACCACCACCACTAGCTAATTTTTTTTTTTTTTTTTTTTTTGAGACAGAGTCTCGCTCTGTCGCCCAGGCTGGAGTGCAGTGGCGCGATCTCCACTCACTGCAAGCTCCGCTGCCTCCTGGGTTCATGCCATTGTCCTGCCTCAGCCTCCCGAGAAGCTGGGACTACAGGCGCCCGCCACCACACCTGGCTAATTTTTTTTTTTTGTATTTTTAGTAGAGACAGGGTTTCACCGTGTTTGCCAGGATGGTCTCAATCTCCTGACCTTGTGATCCGCCCGCCTCGGCCTCCCAAAGTGCTGGGATTACAGGCATGAGCCACCGCGCCCGGCCTAATTTTTGTATTTCTAGTAGAGACAGGATTTCACCATGTTGGCCAGGCTGGTCTCGAACTCCTGACCTCAAGTGATCCGCCTGCTTCAACCTCCCAAAGTGTTGAGATTACAGGCGTGAGCCACTGCACTTTGTGAAACCCGTGGTGAAACCCTGTCTCTACCAAAAATACAAAAATTAGCCAGGTGTGGTGGCGCACGCCTGTAGTCCCAGCTACTCGTGAGGTTGAGGAAGGAGAATCATTCAAACCTGGGAGGCGGAGGTTGTAGTGAGCTGAGACTGTGCCACTGCACTCCAGCCTGGGCGACAGAGTGAGACTCTGTCATAGAAAAAGAAAAAAAAACCTCCCAGACTGAAGAGAAGCAGCCCCGGGGCATGCACCCTCAGCTTCCCCCTCCAAACTGGCTTCATATCTAACCCTCATGGGAGGGAATTTCTGGTCCCAAACAGCATGACAGCACTTTGAACATTCCAGTATCTGTTTATAAGGTAGTGTCCGCAGGGATTTGTAAGGTGTCGCGCTGACTTCAGCGGCCTCCCCTAGCCAGCAGCACGAAGGGGTGAAAGGGTCCCAGGAGCCCCACCCCACCTACCGCCACCTCATCCAGAGTCTGAGAGCTGCAGCCGGCACAGACCAGGCGGTGAGTAATTGCAGGTTTGCTTCAAGCCTTCTGGGTCGTGAGAAACCAAACCAAGTTTCACTCCGGAAGGGCGCGCCTCCGCAGCAGGGGAGAGAAGGAAGGGGTTGGGGGTGGGGTGGTCTCAGGTGGAGGTTAGCAGCAAGCTGGCCTGGAGCCCAGGCTCTAGAGCTTACCAAGCCCCAGCTGCTGGGCCCCGGCCCCTCTGGCCTCTGACACACCCCTGACTAGGCGGCTGCCCGACAGGCCCTCCCTGCCCTCGGGTGTAAAGGCTGAAGCAATGAGCCATTTCCTTTCCTGTGCACTCTGCCAGGGCCCCGCTGATTCCAGACACCAGCAAGGACGGGTAGTGCGGAGTGGCTGGAGGCAGAGGGAGGAGACTTGCAGCAGCCTCTCCAGTCTAGCTGTTCGATCATGCTCAGTAAATAATGTTTACAAAATAAGTAAATAAACAAGTCAGGGTGGGGCACGGTGGCTCACGCCTGTAATCCCAGCATTTTGGGAGGCCGAGGCAGGTGGATCACGAGGTCAGAAGTTCAAGATCGGCCTGGCCAAGATGGTGAAACCCCCATCTCTACTAAAAATACACAAATTAGCCGGGCATGGTGGTAGGCGCTTGTAATCCCACTCCTCAGGAGGCTGAGGCAGAGAATTGCTTGACCCCGGGAGGCGGAGGTTGCAGTGAGCCGAGATCGCGCCTAGTCTGGGTGACAGAGCGAGACTTCGTCTCTAAAAATAAATAAATAAATAAATAAATTTAAATAAACAAATGAACAACAACAAACAACTTTGTCTTTATCCAGCCCCTGGACTGAGGGTGCACAGATTGACCTCTGGGGAAGTTTTCATCCTGCAGAAAGGGGAGAAGAGATAACTTGGCAAATGATTCTAAGAGGGAACCTGGTGAGTGATCAACCCTGGATGTGAGGAAAGAGAAAACAGGTAACCCAGGAGTGGCAAGGAGACCTGGGGTGCGGCACTCAGCTCCCAGAAGAAGCTGGTTCCTTATCTGAGAACCTCAGCACTTTGGAAGGCCGAGGCGGGAGGATCACTTGAGCTCAGGAGTTAAAGACCATCCTGGGCAACATAGCAAGACCCCTAAAAAAACAAGTGAAGTGCCTACTTTTTATCCTGACCCAGGCTTATGGGGAAGGTTAAGTGAATGCATGGAAGTGACCAAGTACAGCAATAGCTTTGGGGCCTGCGGCTGCCGTAAGCATCACTAAGTCTCATGACTATGGGGGAGGTTATCTTAGCTGTAAAAAACCGGAAGCCTCCCAGGCAGAAGCAAAGTCTCTGGGGCCTTTGGAGGCTTTCGGAATCTTCTGAGGGCATTTCTCAGACTCTCTGTGTAAACAGAGGGGACTTGGCTTGAAGCCTCAATTAACACAGCAGCTAATTCCCCCAACATAACTTCTCAGGGCTCCCAGGAGGAAAAAACTGTTTCCAAGGCTCCCAGCTCACTCCTGCCCCTTAGGGAGCTCCTAGACTGCCTGTCTCCTCTTGGTAGGCCCCTGGGAGTACTTCTCAAGCCAAGGGAAACTGAGACCCAGGATGCCAAGGGAACTGGTTCAGGGATCGTGGCCCCTAAATAAGCCCAGCAAGGCAGCTAGAACAGTGATTTGCACACATGGCTGTTCCTTGGATTTACCTAGGATGCCTGGGTTCCCTGACCCCATCCCTGTCCATGCCCTGGAGATCCTGGTGTAACCTATCTGGGGAAAAGCCTGGAACATCGCAGAGCTCAGTGCACAGGGTTCTCCCAGGCTAGCCCTGCCCTGTCCCTGACTGCACAGCCCTCAGCAATAGAAGAGAAAGCCCTGTAACTCCATTAAGTGAGAAAAGGTGTGATTCACCTCACCCCTGCTAATCACACTCACAAAAGCCTCAATTAACACAACAGTTAATTCCCGCAACAAGATTTCACCTCGGGCTGCCTCTCCCCCTCCACATAAGGCAGGACCTGGGAGGTGTTCCCTGCAGCTGCACCGCAGGAAAGGGTTAACAGGAAGTGCCTGGCGTCCTGCAGCCACAGAAGCCCCATTGTTTTCCAGCCCGTCCCCTCCCCCTCGTCCAGGAAGACCCTCCGGGGAGCCCCTTCCAAGTGCCCTGGAGTCTCTCTAGGCTGAAGGCCAGCCCATCGGGAGAGTGTGCACAGGAAAAGGAAACTGGCTGGGTGCGGGCTGGGGAGGCACAGCTGTCACTGACGCATCTCAGGCGGGGGGCAGTTTCCGAGGAGGGGCGCTCCACCTTGCCCGCCTGGTGTGTGTGGGAGGGGGTCAGCCCTCCCTACAGTCCCCATCTGGAAGCCAAAAGCCTTTTATTTGGGGTTCTTAAGTAAAACTGGATCCCCTGCCTCCCTCCAGCCATGCCCCCACCCCACCCCACCCCACCCCACCCCACCCCAAGCATCCCTGGGTCCGAAAGTTTAACACCCACCCCTCCTCCATCTGATTTCAGATCACTCCTCCAGGTCCTAACTGTCAGCTTTTTCTGATTAACTGTGCTGGGTGGGGTGGCCTGGATGGGGTTGGGGTGGTTGCAGGAAGAACTGTTGGCAATTCCCTGGGAGCCCGTGGGGGCGGGCTGGCTGAGGGTGAGCAGCTGGCAACCAGACAGGCCGAGGCCCTGGGTGGACAGGCCGAGGAGGAAATTAATTAGTGCCAGTCAGGTGGCCAGCCGACTGGGAGGACGGCACCGCAGGGGGCCCGGCCAGACGCTGAGGTGCGGGAGAGCTGGGGGATGGGCGGACAGTGAATGCTGGGATTATGTCTTAACTAAGACTCAACAATGTACTGGGGGAGGGGCCAATTGGACCAGGAGGCTCGAAGACAGGGCAGGGAAGGGCAGCAGGGCTGGGGCTCCTGGGGGTTTCTTCTGAGAAAGGGATTCACCAAAGGGCCAGGCGGGGAGCACGATGTGGGGAGGCCTCAGCTCTCTTGGACATAAGTTTGGGGAGACACAAGCGCCCCTTAACACAGACATAGGTGGGATGACCCCCTAGGCTGAGCCTCAGGAAACAGGAAAGGTCCTAGAGCGCTTCTGGACACAGGTGGAGGAAGTCTGGGCTTCCCTGGACAAACGTGGGGGTCTGAACTCATCTGGACACAGGTGGAGAAGATCCGGTCTCCCCCAAACACAGGTGTGTGGATCTGAGCTCCACTAGACACGGCTACGAGGGTCGTGGCCTCCCCTAAACGCTAAAAAACCGGGGAAGGTGTAGGTTTTCCTGAGCACAGCGGGTTCTGAGCTCCTCTGGACTCCCTAAGTACACGTGGAGGTTTCAGCAACTCCCAAGCCAAACAGAGTAGTGTGAGCCTCAAACTCTGGCAAGTCCCATTACTCTTTCATTCTCTCGGCCCTTTTTCCCTGATTGGGAGCCGAACCCCCGAGGGCGGTGCAGAAACCGCGACTTCCCCACGCCTCTGACGCCCCCAGGCCCTGGGCGCTGCCTCCGCCTCCGCCTTCCCGCTGCGCGGCAAGCTCCGCCCCCGCCTCCCTGGGACAGGCAGGGCGGGTACGGGAAGGGGGCGTGGCCCGAGCAACTGACCACGCGGGGTGTTCTTGGAAGTCGCGGATTGCACGGCGCGGGGGCGGAGCCCAGGGAAAAGCCAAAGGCGGGAGTCAATTTGCATGCCCCGCCCTTGGGCGTGATAGACACAGGATGGCTCGGCACCGCATAGTGACGCCCTACCCACCTCCAACGCTAAGCCTCCCGCTCACATTTCCTTGGCAAGATCAAGTCCCTGCCCTGCCTGGCTAGCAACTGGGCCGCGGCGTGGCCTGCGTCGTCCCTGCCCTCAGGCGGGTGGACTTCGCCGAAGGTCCTGAAACCGGGTAAACCGGTCTAGGTGCTGCTTCTGGGTTGGTCCCGACCTGTGGCCCGGCCCTTTCCCAGATCTATAGAGGCTGAACTGGAGCGCCCTTCCCATAAGTCCTGCACGGCAGGGCAGGGCAGAGTGGGGAGTAGGCTTCGGGATGGAGGACCTGACTAGAGCTGTCCTTTATTTGCTGTCTTGCAGAGCAAAACTCTGGGCCTGTTTCCTCATCTGTACTCACTCAAACGAAGGTTGCAAAGGCATCATTCATTCACAAAAACCACTTAGTTAACCATCTGCTAGACTTGGTCCCTGCTCTCATGGAGGCCATAGGCTACAAGAGGAGACTAACTCAGAAACAACGGTTTAATTCTACAAAGGTAAAATTGCACTTGTGATAAGCATTAAGAAAAAAATATATATTTATTTTATTTATTTATTTTTGGAGACTGTCTCGCTCTGTCGCCCAGGCTGGAGTGCATTGGTGCAGTCTCAGCTCACTGTAACCTCAGTCCCCCAGCCCTGGGTTCAAACGATTCTCCCATCTCGGCCTCCGGAGTAGCTGGAACTACAGGTGCACACCATCATGCCTGGCTAATTTTTGTATTTTTAGTAGAGATGGGCTTTCACCATGTTGGCCAGACTGGTCTCAAACTCCTGACCTCAAGTGATCCACCTGCCTCGCCTCCAAAAATGCTGGGATTACAGGCATGAACCACTGCTCCCAGCCCTGCAAAAATTTATTTTATTATTATTATCTTTAGAGACGAAGTCTCGCTCTGTTGCCCAGGCTAAAGTGAAGTGGCGTGACCTCGGCTCACTGCAACCTCCACCTCCCAGGTTCAAGCGATTCTCTTGCCTCAGCCTCCCAAGTAGGTGGGAAAAAGGCTTCTGCCACCACGCCTGGCTAATTTTTGTATTTTTAGTAGAGACGAGGTTTCACCATATTGGCCAGGCTGGTCTCGAACTCCTGAACTCGTGATCTGCCCACCTTGGCCTCCCAAAGTGCTGGGATTACAGGTGTGAGCCACCGTGCCTGGCCTCATTTTTTTTGAGACAGAGCTCTGTTGCCCAACTGGAGTGCAGTGGCGCAATCTCAGCTCACTGAAACCTTCACTTCCAGGGTTCCGCAATTCTCCTGCCTCAGCCTCTGGAGTATCTGGGACTACAGGCATGCGTTACCATGCCTAGCTAATTTTTGTATTTTTAGTAGAGACGGGGTTTCACCATGTTGCCCAAATTGGTCTTGAACTCCTGACCTCGTGATCCTCCTGCCTCTGTCTCCCAAAGTTTTGGCATAACATGCGTGAGCCACCATGCCTGGCCAAATGTTTTAAATAAAGTAGCTCTTGATCCAAGTGTCAAATATAGGGGTCTTGCCTCCCGTCAGAGACTGGTTGAATAAATAAATAAAATAATACCAGTCTGGGCAACAATAGGAAGTCCATCTCTACAAAAATAAAAATAAAAAATTAGCCAGGCATCATGGCGTGTGCCTGGGGTCTCAGCTATGCTGGAAGCTGAGATGAGAGGATCCCTTGAGCACTCGACTTTGAGGCTGCAGTGAGCCTCGGATCACGCCACTACACTCCAGCCTGGGTGACAAAGCAAGACCCTGTCTCAAAAATAAAATAATTAATTACTTAATTAATTAAAATACTTTGGGAGGCCAAAGTGGGCGGATCACGAGATCAGGAGATCGAGATCATCTGGCCAATATGATGAAACCCTGTTTCTACTAAAAATACAAAAATTAGCTAGGTGTAGTGGTGGGTGCCTGTAATCCCAGCTACTCGGGAGGCTGAGGCAGGAGAATCACTTGATCCTGGGAGGCGGAACTTGCAGTGAGACGAGATCGTGCCACTGCACTCCAGCCTGGGTGACAGAGAAATACTCCATCTCAAAAAATAAAAATAAAAAATAAAAATAAAATAAAGGGATCCTTAGGCCGAAAGAGGGTTAGACCGGGAACGCTTCCCTAAGGATTTGCCCTTTGAGTTGAACTGGCTTCACTAGGTGAGCAAGGAAGCTGAAAGATCTCCAGGAGGTCACAGCATAGCCAAAGGCCATGTGGCTGAGAAGACTGTGGAAGTCTGAGGGACAAAAAGCAGGTCCATCTGGCGTGGCGCATCGTGGTGATGCAAGATTCAGCCAGAGATGCGATGGCCCCAGATCAAGCAGGGCCTTGCGGATCACCATAGGAGTTTGTCCCTCTTCCAGAAGCAGAATTTTCCAAATTCCGGGACAGTGTGGCAAAATAATTCAAGGTTATTTATTTATTTTTATATTATTATTATTATTATTTATTTTTATTTATTTATTTTTTGAGACGGAGTCTCGCTCTGTCGCCCAGGCTAGAGTGCAGTGGCCAGATCTCAGCTCACTGCAAGCTCCACCTCCTAGGTTTATGCCATTCTCCTGCCTCAGCCTCTGAAGTAGCTGGGACTACAGGCGCCCGCCACCACACCCGGCTAGTTTTTTTGTATTTTTTAGTAGAGACAGGGTTTCACCATGTTAGCCAGGATGATCTCGATCTCCTGACCTCGTGATCTGCCCATCTCGGCCTCCCAAAGTGCTAGGATTACAGGCTTGAGCCACCGCGCTGGCCTATTATTATTTTTTGAGACAGTCTCACTCTGTTGCCCAGGCTGGAGTGCTGTGGTGCGATCTTGACTCACTGCATCCTCTGCCTCCCAGGCTCAAGCAATTCTCCTGCCTCAGCCTCCTAAGTCGCTGGGACCACAGGCACTCACCACCATGCCTGGCTAATTTTTGTATTTTGAACAGAGATGGTGTTTCACCATGTTGACCAAGCTGATCTCAAACTCCTGACCTCAGGTGATCCGCCCACCTCGGCCTCCCAAAGTGCTGGGATTACAGGCATGAGCCACTTCACCCAGCCCAATTCAATATTATTTGAATAACATAAACTGAATCTCTCCAAATTTCTCCCTTTTCAACTTGCATCCCCGTTCTCCGCCCAAGCATAGTTTTCTTCCCTTGGAAACAATGTGTCGTTAAGGCTGGCTAATCTCTCTTTGAAACTTAAACCTGTTACTGTTTCAGCAGGATCTTTTGACATTGTTTTATTTTCATTATAACCTTTTAAAAAACTGTTACTTTCTAAATAGGGAGAGTGATTAATAAGTGGGCTAACTCAAAACTATTAGATGAATACGGTTAGCTGGGCATGGTGGCATATGCCTGCAGTTCCAACTATTCCAGAGGCTGAGATGGGAGGACTGCTTGAGCCTAGGCGGTGGAGGCTGCAGTGAGCTATGATGGTGCTACTGTTCTCCAGCCTGGGCAACATAGCAAGACCCTGTCTATAAATGATAATAATAATAGTACAGTTGTTATGAGAATATCACAAAATCCTGACCCCTCAACCATCTGAGGTTTGAGAAATTCTAAGAGTAATGTAGAAGCCACTGATTTAATGAGATGATAAATATTAAGCATGTAACACCTGTTTACCCAAAACAACCTCATTCACTCATTCAGGCCCAGTTTGGATATTGGTGAAATTAACAGAATTAACTTCTGAGTTAGGGCACAGATCCTAAGTAAACAATAAATACCTGCAGGTGCAGTGGCTCATGCCTGTAATCCCAGTACTTTGGGAGGCTGAGGCAGGCAGATCACCTGAGTTCAGGAGTTCCACACCAGCCTGGGCAACACGGTGAAACCCTGTGTCTATAAAAAATATGAAAATTAGCCAGGTGCAGTGGTGTGCACCTGCAATCCCAGCTACTCAGGAGGCTGAGGTGGGAGAATCTCTTGAACGTGTTAGGAAGATGTTGCAGTGAGCCAAGATTGTGCCACTGCACTCCAGCCTAGGCAATAGAGCAAGACCTTGTTAAAAGAAAAGAAAGAGCCAGGCGCGGTGGCTCATGCCTGTAATCCCAACACTTTGGGAGGCTGAGGCGGGCAGATCATGAGGTCGAGATCAAGATCATTCTGGTCAACATGGTGAAACCCTGTCTCTACTAAAATACAAAAAATTCCGGCCAGGTGCAGTGGCTTATGCCTGTAATCCCAGGACTTTGGGAGGCAGAGGCAGGTGGATCACCTGAGGTCAGGAGTTTGAAACTAGCCTGGCCAACAAGGTGAAACCTGCCTGGCCAACAAGGTAAAACCTCGTTTCTACTAAAAATACAAAAATTAGCCAGGCATGGTGGCGGATGAATGTAATCCCGGCTACTCAGGAGGCGGAGGCAGGAGAATTGCTTGAACCCAGCAGGTGGAGGTTGCAGTGAGCCAAGATTGCGCCACTGCACTCCAGCTTGGGTGACAGAGTGAGACTTCGTGTCAAAAAAAAAATTAGCTGGGCTTTTGGCTTGGAGGAGACCAAGGTGCAACTTTCTTTTTTTTTTTTTTTTTTTTTTTTTTTTTGAGACGGAGTCTTGGTCTGTGGCCCGCGCTGGAGTGCAGTGGCCAGATCTCAGCTCACTGCAAGCTCCGCCTCCCGAGTTTACGCCATTCTCCTGCCTCAGCCTCCCGAGTAGCTGGGACTACAGGCTCCCGCCACCTCGCCCGGCTAGTTTTTTGTATTTTTTAGTAGAGACAGGGTCCCACCGTGTTAGCCAGGATGGTCTCGATCTCCTGACCTCGTGATCTGCCCGCCTCAGGCTCCCAAAGTGCTGGGATTACAGGCTTGAGCCACCACACCCGGCCAAGGTGCAACTTTTCTTCGGTCATCCAGAATCCAGGTTCTTCTGACATCAGCCATTTCCACCATGCTGCCAAAGTTCAACACCAACAAGATCAAATTCGTATACCTAAGGCACACCAGGGGTGAAGTGGGTGCCACTTCTGCACTGGCCCCCAACATTAGTCCTCTGGGTCTGTCTCCAAAAAAACTTGGTAATAACGTTGCCAAGGCAACGGGTGACTGGAAGGGCCTGAGGATTACAGTAAAACATTCAGAACAGACAAGCCCAGATTCAGGTGGTGCCTTCTGCCTTTGCCATGATCATCAGAGCCCTCAAGGAACCACCAAGAGACAGAAAGAAACAAAAAATCATTAAACACAATGGGAATATTGCTTTTGATGAAATCGTCAACATTACGCGACAGATGCGGCACCGATCTTTAGCCAGAGAGTTCTCTGGAACCATCAAAGAGATCCTGGGGGGTGCCCAGTCTGTGGGCTGTAATGTTGATGGCCGCCACCCTCATGACATCATAGATGACATCAACAGTGGTGCTGTGGAATGCCCAGCCAGTTAAGAAGCGCAAAGAAAAATATTTCAATAAAGGGTCATTTGACAACTGGAGGAAAAAAAAAAATTAGCCAGGTGTTGTGGCATGTGCCTGTAGTCCCAGCTACTCAGGAGGCTGAAGCAGGGGAATTGCTTGAATCCGGGAGGCGGGGGTTGCAGTGAGCGGAGATTGCGCCACTGTACTCCAGCCTGGCAACAGAGCGAGACTCCGT